AACCATGTTGTATTATTGCCACAAAAAGAAGTATCTTAACAAAGTTGTGTATTTTTCAAATACCCATTATAAACCAACATTTTAGGACCTTACATTAAGGGGTGCTACTCCTGTTTCTACTGTGGAAATTTGAATGGTCACCATGTTGGTATTGTTGATGGCAGAAAATTATAAAGAACAGAGGTAAGGCCTATAGTGGCATAATTCCCTGTGTAGTTTCATGCAAATTTGTTGATTTGTTCAACAATTATAGGAGAGACAAATGCATGAATAAACACACAGATATGATAATACCATTTCTAGCTCCTTTAAAAGAAGGAAAGTAGGCTAAAAAGTGGGGCAACATTTTGCATTGTGTCAGAGCAGCATATATCTAGAAGTTTGTTTTTGTCACATTTAATTTGAATAGAATTCTGACATGAGTATTCCAAAGGATATAATGAACACCAGTCAGGTTACAAAAAAAAAAAAAAAACATTTAATCCAATTTAGAGTATGCAGGAAAACTAATTCCAAGATAGTAACAAAACTTGGAGTCACTTAGATCTGGTTTCATCTATCTATCTCTTATGTTGTTGATAACAATTGCAGTTCAGCATCTCTTTAGCATTAATGATAATTTTACGTGGAAACTGAATTCATGGTAAATTATAGCATCACACAGCACAAATAAAATCAGGAAATCAAGGGTCTATACCCTGTTCTATGAAGGATCACAATAACTTCAAGCGTTCACTACATGTTAAAATTTTGTATGATACAAATTAATTTAAGTTTTTACAAGTTCACTGCCATGGCAGTTACCAGACTCTTTACCTTGTGGCATGTGGTTATTGGCATCCACTCTATAATGCTGGTGCTATGTTTATGCTGCTACAGCTTGTGAGTACCACAACACAAGTCAGCATACTTGTGATAACTTACAGTAGTGTAAAAGTGACCTGTATTATTTTATGACCTTGGATGTAAAATTTAAATAGTCAGCATGTCAAAAGACACTACCCAGTGGCCAGATGATGAGTTAAATTCGCAGTAGGGGCACTGGGATGTGTTCAATAATCCAGAAGAGCATTCAGTCATCCTCCGATTCCGTCCATATTGGAATACCTTTCCACCAGGATGGAAACGTGCTGAGATGATCTGATAGACCCACACTTTGAAAAATTTAATAGACTGATTTAAATATAATTTGAGATTAAGGAAGTGCATATCAGCCTGAAGTGGTAGCTCTTCTAAAGTGCTTTTAATCTTTCCCATTTGAAAAGATTTACGAGGAGTGTTCCATATATAATGCCTCCTATTTTTTAATGAAAACTACAACAAATACAGAAAGCATAATAACGCAGTTAAATAGAGCAAGATTTCAGCTACTTATAGTTATTTTTCCACATAATCATCACCATTCGTTATGCACTTTTGCCAGCGATAAACAACAGCTGTATGTTGTGCCTGTAAAAGTCTGTGCCAGCAGAGGCTAGCCACTTTCTTATAGCTGCAATGACAGCAGCATTGTCTGGAAAATGTTGCTCATGTAGTCCATCTTTCGTAGGCTCAAAGAGATGGAAGTCTGAAGGTGCTAAATGGGGTCTATAAGATGGATGTGGTAGGACAGTCCAACCAAACTTTGCAATGTGCGTGGTTGTCACCAAACTGGTATGGGGTATAGTGTTATCATGTTGCAAGCGAAAGGTTGTCTGCTTCTCTGGCCTGACTCGGGAAATACGGGCTTTCAGCTTAGTCAGCGTCATCTTGTAGTGTTCAGAATTGACAGCCTCACCAGGCTCCAGGAAATCCAACAAAATCACACCCCGCAACTGGTGCAACAGGTCCTGACAGACTTTCCTTGCTGATGGATGTGTCTTGAACTTCTTTTTTCTTGGGGAATTTGGATGTCACCACTTCATGGACTGTCTTTTGGATTCCGGCTCATAGTGATGACACCATATCTCATCTCCGGTGAAAATGCTGTCCAGAAACTTGTCACCTTCAGCCTCAAACTGGTGCAACAGGTCCTGACAGACTTCCATTTGATGAGTTTTGAGGTCCTGTGTAAGCATCCACAGGACCCACCTGGAACAAACTTTGCAATAATCCAGCTTCCCCAACATCGTTTCCAATGCATTACAGCCGATATTAAGCCGTGCACACAGTTCCCTGGTCGTTATCTGCCGATATGTATGGATGAGCTGATCGAGGAGCTGTTCATTGTGAGGAGTGGCAGCTGAGTAGGGACGCCCAGGGCATGGCTTGTCGTGCACTTCACTTTCGCCACTGTTGAAATGTACTACCCACCGCCTCACTGTGCTGACATCCACTGTACTGTATCTGTACACCTTTAGCAAGCGTCAATGGATGTCAATGGGTGCAATTTTTTCAGCAGTGAGAAATTCAATAACACATCTCTGTTTCGTATGCACTTCTATGTTAGACGCCAATTTGGTAGACTGCTCTGCTGTTGCTATCTGTCGCACGACAACCAATCTAACAGTACACTGGCGGGAAGGTTCAACCTTTACTACACCACCACCAACATCCAGCTCAGACGTTACATATTAACACAAAAAAATAGGAGGCATTATATATGGAACATCCTTTGTAGCTACGGTCAGTGATGGATGGTTTAATATTACTATTTCCCAAGAATCCTGTGTCACTGCTGATTTATTTTAGCTATCCGGTCTAAGTGGTGCAAGAAGAGAAGGTAAGAACAAAATAATCCTCAGTAACTATGAAAGAAAGGGAAGTAGTTTAACTACATGAAAGCCAAGAAGGTAAAAAGAAGTGGGACTTTATCCTCTCAGATTATGCTGTATTACAGTTAGGATCATTTTTGAGGGAGGAACAGGATATATGTATGTTAAAAAGTAATGAAGTTACAGAATCATTTTGGGTAATACTTCCAGTTAAGTTCTGTTCAACCTTTCTAGCCTCTGCCCATACTGGCTGCAATGAAGATTATTTCAGAGTGGGAGCATGGTAAACTCTGCTAATCATAATGGTGAGATGGTGTTGACTGGAAGGTGGGCTCAGAACCACAGTGAGTGCTCGATGTTCTTTAGAGCCAGTGGACACAATAGAGGTCTAAGTGCTTAAGGGGCAACCAAAAGTTACCCCTTCCCCCCATGTCAACACTCATTCCTCAGATTCACAATTTAATCATTACATAAAGGTATGAACTGACAGAGAGTGTATGGGATTTAGCTGGTCTTTGTATATACAGGGTGTCCCAGGAGGAATGTGCCGAACTTTGGGAGGGTGTTCCTTATGTTAAAGTATGCCAATATAACCCAAAACACCTATGTCCAAAGTTGAACGGTTACGGAGATAATGGCCAGAGAAGTGCGAAACTTTGACCGGTGTTACACACTTGTTGATTACAAAATACATATTAAAACAGGCAGGAATATGTGGTTTCTGTAATGTTAATAATGTATGTAACATCAGACTAACTTGTGAGTGATATGAAGCCATTAAATTGAACTACAAAAAACTCGCACGCCATGTCAAAGTTGTCGTTAAGAGTTCCAAGCACTATACATGACACATGAATGGCAAGTGCTGACGTAACATTGCTGACTGCGCGTTCTGGTATGCGAGTGTATGGGGGTAACGTGAGCTGCCATCACCACACTCAAGGACAAACGTAGATAAGACACGCCAGCTGACAGGTACAATGCATGGACTCACCAGAAGACCACGACTTTTCTCGGGCCATTGCCTCCATAACCGTTCAACTTTGGACATAGGTGTTTTGGGTTATATCAGCATACTATAACATAAGGAACACCCTCCCGAAGTTTGGCACATTCCTCCTGGGACACCCTGTATACACACACATATAGTGCATACTGTATATGAAAGTGCAAATATCAATCTTCAAATTTTAAATAATGGAAATGTACCACATGGTCAAATAGAGATTTTTGGAACACTGAATACTTACCATACAGCTGTGGATCAGGACTATATGACTATAATCTCAGATCACAGTGCTGTAAAATAAATAATAAACAAATAAAAATGTATCTGTGCAGTTCAGCAGACACATTTGGTTTGTGTGAGGATGGTATCTCAGTCATAGTCAATGATCTATCCTCTTTGCATTTGATTATCATAATTGGTCTCATTAAAGTTGAGCATGGATAATGCAGAAATGCTGTAGATACATTCAGTAATGGAATCCTCTGGTGCAGGTTAGGTTTGGATAAACACATTCAATCTCAGAGTTTTGATAAGGTCAAATACTGCCTAGCAGATGTAATAACTAGGTTGTGTCCTAGTGCATGGAAGTGCCCCAGTATGTGAAACCATCAACATTTACTGACATTTATTTCAGGTTTTGATGAAGTTATCTCATCTCACTGGCATGTCATTAGTTCATCTTAAATTAGAGTCCTGTGCTCTTCTTCCCAATGACAATCAATTTTAACTACAGTTGTTACATATCCTGGTATTTCTGAGGAACATTCAAACTTCTAACTTCCCACGAAGTCTGCATGAGTACTGGTGGAACTGTTTGGAAATAGTAATATAAGGAAGAATGGAGGTAAAACTGACTTCCATCCACTAAACATGTCCCATCACAGTACATTAACACTTCATTCGTTTAACTAATAGGTGTGAGGGGAGGGGGGGAGGAATCATCAAATAATTTAATATGAGCATGCAAATGGTGGAAGGTCTTGATATGTTACTTTTGTAGTATATGAAATGGTAATTTTTAATAGTACTCGTGGCTTTTTTGTAATGGTTTCCAACAACCTTCATCAACCGCAGTGACACAAGAACGCTCTCGCTTAATGAAATACTGTACATCAAACTCCTTTCTGCCGTAACGAAAACACTACTCAACACGCAAGGCCACTGAAATCCTCAATGATTCATTCATATTTTTTCCCCTCCTAAACTAGCCGCTTCTGAACCTATGGTATGTAAATATCGTTTGAGGGGGGCTTCTGTAGTAAAGGAACGCCCCCGTGCTGTATTCACGAGGCCGTGATTTCAAGCAAGCCTCCATTTTTACCTGTGAAACAACATCCGTCCGTCCGCTATATCTTGTACGGATTTCACAGAACTGTATGTGTTAAATTATGACAGTAATACTGGTCACTTGTTGTATTCCAAACTCCGTTACTGAGAGTTAACAAGTTTTTATTCGCGATGAACACCGAACTATATTTTTATTGGTAAATGCATACGGGCATGCGCGATCACGACAGGCCGAAGATTGAAGAAGCATCTTCATAGAAGAGAACTTCCTGTCCTTACAAGTTGTGGCTGATGTATTTTATATGCGTCAAAAATGGTGGAAGTAAGGACAAAATGGGGCAGAAGTAGGATATTTTATTTCGCAAATCATGACAGAGGCATATGAAGAGTAAGTACACACCTTTATTATAATAAATAACGAATGTATGTGCGCGTAACCCTCCAAGTGTTCAAAATCGGGGCTAGGTCATGGTAGGCATATATCGGTTTGCCTCCATTTTCTCATGGTTTTCTGACCGCTTTAATGTAAAATTTTGCGAAATATGATTACTTATGTTCCAGTCTGGTAGTAAATGTTCGTTAATAAGGGAATTTTGTACTGGAGTGACGCAGGGTTTCGAATGTCTGATGTATGTGTATACATGTCTACTAGCCAACCAAACAGACCATTCATTATAGTGGATTGATCTATATTCTTGTCATTGATGAAATAGTCGAGCTGTGAGTCGTTCAGAAGGTTCAGAAGCACATTATGGGCGCACCGAAGTACAATCAATCGGAGGAGTAATTTAGTAGTAGCCATTAATTTGGAGAATTATGAAGCCCAGGTTTTAAAAATTTTTCCCATATTAAGTATGACGTATTTAATGTTTCCAGTCGCCTGATATAAATGAAAATTGAGGAATAATAATAGTAATAATGTAATTCAAGCAGTGTAATTCAATCTTTAGCCAGATATGAGGTATGATGAATACATTGGTGAATGAAACAATTTTAAAGGGACAGATTGTATGTATCTTTGTGAGTAGATGATGAATTTAAATTGATTTAGAAAATACGTACATGACAGGGGAAGTAAACACTGTTTTGTGGTGTTTCTTTAAAGCTGTTGGGTGGAACTTAATAAAACTTGCTTCTCAATGTTTGTAATGTGATGAAATGCTGGACCTACTAATCAAATAGCCAACTGTATTTAATATTGTATGGACTTATCCAGCTCGAAACATACCATAAAATCAGCGTGGAACTGTTAATAGTGTGGTTGTGTTGTGGTGTTTGTGCTTGGGGAATGTTCTGTAATTGTGTTGTGTTTGTGAATGTTGTATATTTGTCCCACACCCTGCAGTCTGCTCACTAGGATCTATGGGATGCTTATATCTATTTATCCATGGTATTTGTATCTACCAGCAAAGTTGCCAAAAGTTGCACAGCTCTTGATGCATCATGCATTTCACCCATGCAGCTAAAACAAGCATGCGAGTACTGATGAATGGGCTTTCAGAAAGATAGAGCAGAGCCTATCATTATGTGGAATGAAGGTTTGAGTGTATGTCAGACTGTAAGGGAAATGACTTTCAATGAACAGTTCTATTGCAGTATCAAAAGTAATGCTTTGTATTGTTGCTCTGTAGTTCTTTTTGTATCATTCTTAATATTGACAATGCCTTTGAAATAAGCATAAATCTTTGCAGCAAGCAAAGTTTATTATGTAAGTGTAATGCATGCCTTTTATGAGATTGACCATCATAGAGGAATTATGTCAAAATTTCCTACATGATATAAATGAACATGCAGTGGTCAATGCAAGTTCATATTTCGTGAATGGATTTGCAGGAAAATTGTGCTTTGATTTCATCACAAGTAAATGACATTGAAATTGCTTATTGGTTCCATGTATATATAGAATCTATTCTATTTTTATATGTTTTGGGAGTAATGTTTGTTTGAAATATTGAGGGTATGTCATGCCCTGAGTGTACAACCTTGCAGAATAACAGCCCTGTTGAACAGACTTTCCTTTATCGTAATTTTGGTCCACATCATGTTGAAAATGGTATAGTGATAATGTTACAGTTTAAATCACCATTTGATGGCAATACTGCCTCACAGATATTAGAATTTCCTTTGTGAGATGGTGTTTTCTGAGGGGCGGTCAGCAAAGATCAGGCGTGATCACTGTTTGGGAATAGGGGTGGTCTAAGTTACAGTATAGGATGTTTACTGTAACCGCAGGATCGCATCTGTATTGTTACAGTCATTTCAAAGAATATTCTGTTAAAATGTAAAATGCATGGAAGAGGCGAGTGCCCGTTTTCTTACCAACTTTATAAACACTGTAGAATGGGAGATACTGAGAATCTTCATGATGTAATGATCACTTTGCTGTACAGTTTCATGCTGTCATGGAGGAGAGTTGTTTGTGTATGTAGAGGCACAGCTTGCAGGCTATTTCTGTAGTGGTTGGAGTACCTGTGCTTGTTCACCACTCATTGAATATGTATAGGGAGTGTGGAGGAGAAGTTGCAGAAATTCTCTACCTTTGTCATATGTATAGGCGAGCGGTTGGCTTTGTTATCTCATTACAAATCCCAAAAGAAATTCTTCTTGCACTTTTTTTAATCTTGTCTGGATGGACTATTTTGTGGAAAACTACAGTAAGAACAGGTTTAGGTGTACAGTAATTGTAGCTGACTTCCAGAGGACTGTCTGTCCCTGTGTATATATATGTATATAGCAGGGAACCTGCTGTGCCAACAGATGTAACTGTGTGGTACTGTACCTGACTTGAAGGAGACATCTGTCACAGCAGGTTTAGTTGTGCAGCAGCAGTGCCTGTTTATTCAATTCAATTCAATTCAATTTATTTCAAATTCAAAAATAGATCCAGATACAGGCTAGGAAACAACCATTGGATATAGAATGAGTCACAGATCAAAAAAACAAGCATTCCATTCCCACAGGAACAAGTCAAGGCATTCATAATATAAAATAAAATAAAAGAACATATCAGCCATATATACAACAAAACTCCCCCAGTATGGAACTTATGACTCGTCTGTTATTTCCATAAAATCCAGTACTTTAGGATGTGGAGAAGTCACATTAGATAAATCAGTAGCACAAAGAACTAAGCCAAGACATAAGAACAGAACCAGAATACAGTTAATGTTACAGACCGGTATATACAAAATATTCATCCACAGTATAAAATGGGTGACAAGTCGAGGCATTCATAATATAAAACAAATAAAAAAAGAACATATCAGCTATATATACAACAAAACTCCCCCGGTTTACAGAAACAACACAGAACCAAGACATCATATTATAGAACTCTCAAAGGTTTCAGGCATCAGTACAAGCTCTTTTTTCATTTTCATTATACAACTGTTATTTCATAAAAATCCAGTACTTTAGGATGTGGAGAAGTCATATTAGATAAATCAGTAGTACAAAGAACTAAGCCAAGACATAAGAACAGAACCAGAATACAGTTAATGTTACAGACTGGTATATACAAAATATTCATCCACAGTATAAAATGGGTGACAAGTCAAGGCATTCACAATATAAAACAAATAAAAAAGAACATATCAACCACACATACAACAAAACTCCCAAAGTTTACAAAAACAACACAGAACCAAAGAACTGGTTATGTTATCAGGCTTGTCTTATAATATATACATCTTCCATGCATGGGACCAGCTATTTTATCTGGTTTAACTATGCAGTACTGAATCTGAATTGCAGAAAGCCTGCAGGAGGCCTGTTACCCCAAAAGGTTTAGCTGTGCAGTAGCTGCATGTAACTTATAGGAGACTGTTAATCCAGCAGGTTTAGCTGTGCAGTACTGCATCTGACTTGCAAGGAACTTGGTATCCAGACAGGTTTCTTTTCTGCATGGTTTTCATTATTCTCTCTAGGAAAAAGCAAAATGAGTTCCTTAAAATATCCCATATCCATGACCTTTCCTTGTTTCTTTCCATTGAATATTCCTAGTCCTCCCATATTAGGACATAGCTGGATGGTAGCAAACACGATTTACTTTGTTTCTGTTTTTTATGCTGCTAAACTTTGTAAGATTTGAGGCTTTCACAGCGGTGACTATGAAGAAAGCAGTCTTCTGGGATTTGGCACCGTGTATATGTGGTGTTAACCGACGTTCCTCCGAAATGTCAGTTAACACCACATATACACAGTGCCAAATCCCAGAAGACTGTTTTCTTCACTGCTGAACTTTATTTTGCACACGCGCACCCATGCATGCACACACACACACACACACACACACACTCACTCCAGTCGTCTAACTTGGTTTATTAGACACGAACACTTCGTGGTAGAGGTATAAGAACTTTCAGTTACATAGTATACTCGTATTTAACAAACATCTTTGTAGCATAAGAACTAGACATGGAATGTTACACAAATTTGATGTGAGGATCATCTCACTAAGAATGACCTAAGTTGACCCTTTCAGTGTTGTTTGTAGAAAGATGTAAATTTGTGACATTATAGAAATCTTCTGTTCATCAGTTCTTCCAGTGTTATTTCTGTCACTGGATTTGTATAATTTAGATGATTATAAACTCGGTGCCACATATTGTAAAAAAATTATAGAAAAGGGTGGGGTTTGCATTTTTGTGCATAAAACCGGAACTATTTAAATATTAATCAGAGTAAATATTGTAAAAATCAAGACATTGCGTTTTGTGCACTAAAATTAGAATCCTCCTCCTCCTCTTGCTCCCACTTTGGAGCATAGGGCTGATTTCTCAGTTTCTTGATCACTTTACAGATGATAGGACTCCTTGGATGGGGGATCAGATTGTTGCAAGGCCTCTGCCAGCACACAAACACAGAAAAATGCGCTCATGCACACACACACACACACACACACTCTCTCTCTCTCTCTCTCTCTCTCACTCACACACACACACACACACAACATGCATGCCCTGAGTGGGATTCGAATCCACGGTCCCGGCTTTCTAGCGAGCGAAGATAGTACATGCCTTAGACTGCTCGGCTGCCGTGACCGGCAAAATTAGAGTCTACCACTCTTAATATTTTATAATTTCTTTCCACAGAGCACCTTCTGGTAATTTTAATTATATGTTATTGGATTAGTTAGTGTTATCAAGTCACTTTGCAGAGTTGAAGTTTATTATATGTGCTGATATAAATGTATATTATCTTATGAGCCGTGATAAAAAAGACAACGTGAAGCTATGTTACTGTTCTATAATTTATCGGCTATGGTACATTTCCCCACCTGTCCCAAAATCGATCTGACACCGCAGTACACAATATATTTATTGATATCCATAAAATTACAAATTATACAGTTTCTCCTACATGTATATAATGGGTTATCAGATCATGATGCTTAATTGATAATAGTAAAAGATGTAAATCTACAGTTATTTGAACATATTTATACTATCAGAAAAACACATAAATATTCTATAGAAGATTTTAAAATTAGACTAAGTTACGAATCCTGGGACAGCATTTTTGGTAACAATGATAACATGGATGTAGACTCGTTATTTAATACGTTCATGAATAATTATTTAAGAATATTTTATACAAGATTTCCCCCTTTGAAAATTAATCGAGAGAGCTAATAATAATTATTTGATAACAGCTGGTATAAGGATTTCCTGTAATTGTAAAAAAAAATCTTTTTTTGCTTGGTAGGGACAGTAGGCTGCGCCATACCTCAAGCCCGGGTTCGATCCCGGGTCTGGTCAAGTGGGATTTGTGGTGGACAAAGTGGCGCTGGGGCAGGTTTTCTCTTAGTACTTCGGTTTCCCCTGCCAATATTCATTCCATGAATTGCTCCACAATCACCCTCACCTCTCATCTGGCGCTGGTACAATAGGCCAGAAGTGGCCGCAGTACAAGGGACTTAGTCCCACCCCACTAGCAATAAAGAAAAGCACGTACAGTTATGATATCAACTTTAAAAAGTACTGAAAACAGTGCTGCAGAATATTGTCAGGTGTGATTAAAGAAGCAAAAAGGCAAATGTACAATAACTCTGCTAATAAAATGGAAACAATTTGGAATATTATAAAATCAGAAAGAAGTAGATTCAAGGGACATACAGTTAGTAAAAATGGATATACTGCTTGAAGCTTTTAACACACATTTTCTGTCAGTAGCTGGAGAAAATATTCAGAACATTAGATATAGCAGAATAAAAGGTTCTACTAATTACAAAAATCCAAAATATTACATGTCTGAATTATCACATAATTCTTTTCCTGATATAAAATTTAATAATACATCCACTAAAGAAATGGAAAGTCTCTAAGATAAATATTCACATGGTTGTGATGAAATTTCTGTAAGAATATTAAAGGTCAGTGCTCCTTTTGTCAGTTCTTCAAATTATATTTATATTTAATCTATAATATTTGGAACCTTTCCTACTCTTTTAAAATATTGTGTTGTAATCCCGTTATTCAAGAAATGTGATAAGAAAAACATGACTAATTACTTACTAATCTCTTTATTTACTTAATTTTCTAAGGTCTTTGAAAAAATCATATCCGAAAGACTTTTGCAACATATTGAAATTAATAATATTTTAGTAGAGGGACACTTTGGTTTCAGATCTTCTGCATCAACAGATAGACATACTGTAGATTGACTGAGAAGATGCTAAATGCCTTGAATAACAGAATGATGGTTGGAAGCATTACTGTGACTTACAGAAAACTTTTGTGTTAATCACAACACATTATTAACAAAGTTAGAGTTTTATGGAATAACAGGAACATCTCTTAAACTAACTGAATATTACCTAGAGGGACGATACCAAAGGGTGACCTTAAACAATAATTCTCCTGACTCCTATTCAAGGGAGAGATAAAGCATGGTGTCCCACAGGGATCAGTACTTAGTCCATTGATTTTTTTTTACTTCACATTAATGACTTACCAAAAACCATAAATGATAATGCTGAAACCGTTCTGTTTGTGAATAGTCATTACTAGCCTTAACCCTATAAATTTTAAAAGTGGTGTTAATAAAATTTTTCAAGATATAAATAGATAGTTCACTACTAATTTATTGTTAGTAAATGTCGATGACACAATTTATGCAATTTATAACTAAGACTAGTTCTTTAATCGATTTAAATATAATGCATTGGAATAATAAAATAATATTTGTAATACAAAATTCCTTGCACTAACATTGGACAACACATTTTCTTGGAAAACTAAGTTCAGCTTGCCTCGCGATTAGAACAGTTAGGCAATTCTTGTCCCAAGAATCCTTGAAGATGGTTATTATTCATATTTGCACTCTGTCATGACCAGGGCCTGGATTTTGATGACCTGAAAATATTTAAAAAATGACAAAAAAATCCAGAAAAATGACCTAAAATATGACCCAAAAATGTAATATGCAGGGCTCGGATTTTGATGACCTGAAAATATTTAAAAAATGACCGAAAACATCCAGAAAAATGACAAGAAATACTCTTGAAGTCCAAAAATTTACCAAAAAATTATCCCCAAAATGAATAAATGACCTTAACCCTAAAAATGTCAAAAAATGACAAACAATTACCTATTAACTTTACATTTCTGTAACCAGCAGCTCATATCCGAGATTTATATATTTAAGAGCATCACATAGGATACAAGGAAAAAAAGATAACATGTCATCAAAATCCAGGCCCCGGTCATGACTAATGGATTGATATTTGGGGGGAATTCTCATTATAGCAATATAATTTTTAGAGATAGATTCACGCAGAGAATATTTTAGAGAATTAGAAATATTACCACTACAATCTCAGTATATATATTCACTTTTATTGTTTGTGATCAATAATAAACATAATTTAAAGTAAATACTGAGATACATAATACTAGATCAAACCTGATTTTCGTCATCAGTTGTCTTATTTGTCAGCTTAACAGTTGATATTATACTGGGATTAAGTTGTTTAACATTTTACCTGTTCCAATAAAGGATTTGCCCCATAATACAAAAAAAATTGAAATTGGCCATGAAGTTTTTTGTACATCCATTCATTTTATACATTACATGAATATTTTAATTAGAACATGAATTAACCCTTTTATAATGCTGGTTATACAGTACATTGTATAAATTCATTTATTATAATCTGATATTATATTTAAGTTATGATCTCAATAAGGTATTACTGTCAAGTTGATGAGTCCTGTATGCTTGTTTAATTACTGAATTATGTATAATTATTGTTCTGTGAATATAGTTGTAAGGTGATTCGTTCTGTGTTTAGAACTAATGTATGCATGTGTGACATGTTCTGTATATGATGGCTTTGATAGCCAGTAAGGATCTGTGGAATTAAAGATACAGATATTTGTTTTTAAATGTAATTGCTCCGAAGAGTCACATGAAATTTACTTCTGGGATAAGTATCTTTTCTGCTCCAGGTTTGAGTTGACTTTTTGTTTAAACTGCCGAAAGTCTGCCCATTTAATCTGTGTAGTTTTACTTCACCTGAATGTGGTCAGCTACTGTAACAGATCAGAATAAGCACAAAAGGCGGTAGAGTGCCAGTGTGGCTATGCTGTAGCTCAGGTAGGTGGACGCTGTCTGCCCTCCTCAGAACTTAGGGTTCAGTCCAAAGTGATGTCATGTGAGGTTTGTGGTAGGTGTAATGGCAATGGAGTATATATATATATATATTTTTTTTTTTTAAGTTTTGCCCACCTAATTATTAATCCACCATTGCTCCATACTCTTCTGTCACTGCCCTTGGAGGTGTGTGATAGTACTGACCAGATAGCACATAATCACATAAACTCAGTCCTTTAGTCCAGGGCTTCATCTGTGACACATTTGGTTGGTTGCAGAGTAAGGAAGGTGCGTTTGGTGTATGTACTTGTAAATAACACTTTAAGTTATCTTACAGGCTTCTGATTTTTTAAAACCGATTTTGGCAGTAATTTGTTTAGTTTTATGTCCTCTTGAGTTTGGATTGTTTAATTCTTAGGTTTGAGCCTCATGTCTCAACCAGTTAGGGCTGGTTGCTTGGGGTTTGATTCAAGATGGGGACAGATTTCTCTCTTCTACCACAACTGGAATCACTTCTGGGTCCACCTAGCCTTCTATGCAAAGGGTGCTATGATTCATTCAAAGTCAGAGTGGCTGGAATGTAAACTTCCCAGTTATTTCTGGGGCCTGGAATGCCTGGGGCTTTACTTGGATGCCCCATGTACACCTCTGTGTGCTACAGTTGGGCAGGACAACTACAAATATACCATTTCTTCTGTATTTCCCATGTAGGGTTGGAGGGAAATACTGAGAAATCTTGACACGGTAAGTTCCCAGGGACAAATTGGTCACCATTGTTTCCTGGATGATAATGGGGAAGTAAGTCTGGACATGCAAGTTATGTGACAGAAATCACAACTACAGTGAGATATACTCTTGTGGCCAGCAACTTAAGGGCAGGTGGTAACATTCAAATTGAAGGATCTCCCACTGTGTTTATGTGGCAGTCTTCTGATACATTTTTACAGTTAACTAACATATACTGTCACTTCATTTTGATGCAGAAATAAAGGGAAAGAAGATGTACTGTATTTGTGTTAATTCTGTTCTTGAATTTTGAATAGAAGTCATTCTTATCAGTCAGACAGTTATAGAGTTCATAAAAGGAAGCAGTTTGACATATCTTTACAGTTCTGTTGACCGTGAATGGTATGTTAAGTTGGGGTGGTGTTTGTTTGGTTTTGTAACTGTAATTCATTGTATTGTATTGTCTGTTTACAGTGGCAACTATCTGGTTAGGGTGCGAGCTCAGGTGATGATGCGCGACGACAGCACGGGTGGTTGGGTCCCCATGGGGGGAGGGGGCCTCTCCAACGTGTCTGTCCGTAAACGCACTATTCCATGTGATATTGATGAAAGCAAACATGAGTATCTCATTTTTGGAAAGCGGATATCAGACCAGACGGTGAGTCTTTCTCTGTTGTAATCATAAATCTGCTGTAAATTTCAGACTTCTTTCGAGATTCTTTCACTTTCAGGTGGTTTTGTAAGTATGGAGTACATGAATTGTTTGCTGCTGACTGCTCTCCACTGTAGGAGAATTATAATTCAGAATGTCGCCTGGAAACAAAATTGTAGGGTAATATATTGAACTCGGGTAATGCTTGCTACTATTCAGTCCAGAACCTTTTATCTACTTGTCTACTGTCCAAAAACATAAAAATTATAATATATAAAATGATAATATTACCTGTGGTTCTGTATGGGTGTGAAACTTGGTCTCTGACATTAAGGGTGAGGGTGTCTGAGAACAAGGTGTTAAGAAAAATATTTGGACCAAAGAGGGATGAAGTGACAGGAAGTTGGGGGAAACTGCATGATGAGGAGCTTCATGACCTCTTCTCCAAGTATAATTAGAATAATCAAGTCAAGAAGGATGAGGTGGGCAGGTCATGTAGCACGAATGGAGGAGACAAGGAATGCATATGGGATATTAGTGGTAAAGCCGGAAGGAAAGAGACCACTCGGACGACCAAGGCGTAGGTGGGTGGACAATATTAGAATGGATCTTAGAGAGATAGGATGGGATGGTATGGATTGGATAGTTCTGGCTCAGGATAGGGACCAGTGGAGGGCTCTTGTGAACACGGTAATGAACCTTCGGGTTCCATAAAATGCTGGGAAATTCTTGAGTAGCTGCAGAATTGGCGGCTCCTCAAGAAGGGCTCAGCTCCATGAGTAAGTAAGTAAGTAATTCCATGTCAGATCAACGCAGCTTACATCCTCATCTGCTGTGATGTCAGTGAAATTTGGGGTGCAAATTGTAACCCACTGGAAGTGAATGTGTAGGAACTTTTTGTAATTTTCGCTTAGTGGGGGGGTGGAGTCCGACTGGGTCCACTCGGCACGGTGGCCACTGATTGTCCTATTGTACCTCCCCCGGTTGATTATGATGATGGAGAACTTGGTGGAATGAAGATTGGCAAGGGAAACTGAAGTACTCGGAGAAAACCCGCCCCAGCGCCACTTTGTCCACCACAAATCCCACTTGACCAGACCCGGGATCGAACCCGTGCCGCCGCGGTGGAAAGCCAGAGACTAACCGCTTGAGCTATGGCGCGGTCCAACAAAAGCAGTTACTTCTGTGCAGTTTGAATGAAGCATGCTCATTGTTTCAACAGCAGTATCCAAATGTGAAAGTTGAATTTTCGAAATTATTCTATCCTCTAAAGTTGGCACTAACTTCGCCGACAAGCGGCGGTCGCTCGTTCGGTATAGTTCGCTTGCGGACTAAAGCCACAGAGTTTTCTTTTTGTGAAATAAGTTGTAGTACAGTTACTGTAGCTGGAACGTGTGGTCATCATTCACTATGTATATGTAACATACATCAGAGTATGAAATTAATATTAATAGGAAGCAAACTTAATAACTTAACAGCTGAATGTATTACTGAGATAACTTTCTTCTCATTGTACCATTTGTAATCTAAAGAAGGCATCCTGTAGGGTACTTTGAATACTGCCCTCATGAACAAAACTTAAAAGCAGATCATCATCATCATCAGTAATCTGTCAAGACGACAGGTCCACAGTCTCTTTCAAAACAATTCCTCCACTTAACTCTTTGACTGGCACGAAGGGTATTTAAATCCCACCCCTGTCCTGGCAGGCCCTTTAAACCTTATGTCGCTAAAGTGCATGTAGTTACTTTTTCCTAAACAACTTCAATAAAAATTGGTTTATAAAACCGAAATTTTTGGGAACTAATTAAAATACAATATTTTATGCAATAAATGCTTTTCCACACCTCTTTATTTGTTTTTCTTCGTGTGATAAACATTGAAACATGAAAGTTTGCAGAGAGCCACACCACAGCCTGCACACATGATAGTTGTTTCTTTTCTAACCTTGTGCTTAGCACTCACGCGACACTTTCTCAGGGCACCATTCTTCTTATTGTTACTGTTAGGAACATGGACCATTTTGTGAATTTTCAAGCCACCCTCTAGACGATTTTGG